TGCATGCTTATTCGCGGATCTTTGTTAATTAAAATCTCAGTAACTATTGCGAATCTAGCAAAATGGTATAAGACTTTTCGACTCAGTTTTACTCCTTCTACCTGCCTACGAGAGATTGTACGGCCATTCTGGGACACCCTGTATATGCACACGCATTCCGCAAATGCCCGCGCCGTGAAATTACGCCGCGCGCCGTGCGCGTGAAAACTTCAATTTAAATCTCCGAAGATAAAACACATTCTATACGCACTTTATTTTCTGAACAAAATCAAAACGATATTATTTTATATTGACGTTGCAATGATTGATTTGTTACTTTGTGGAACAAGAATAATTGCTTGCGGCAATGGTTTTTTTGATTCGCGCGTGTTGTCGGTAATTTTTTTACAACAAACAAAAACGTCCGAAAGAAACTTATGTTACCATTTTTTGTATTTATTATTTCAGCAAATTTCTCGGCATTGGAAGAAGATCAAAATTGACTAAATTGAACAATATCGCGCACTGAAAAGTAGATTTTTTTCAAAGTCGATGCTCGATTGATCGAATTCGAGTTTATGTCGCCCATAAGTTTAAATTCGAACGAAATGCGTTCGCCGTACACGGTTTGCGAAGAGACAAATGTGAAAGTGCAATTGGGAAATGATGTACAAATTTTATTTATGTATGCTACGAGCGCAGCAACGAATAAATAACACAACGAGTGTTATGCGCGCGCAGTTGTTACGAATTGTTACGCTTCACCTTCCTGGACAAGCATCGCCCGATGCGATCGCATGCGGGCGACACAATCGGTGTCGCTTTTAATTGATACTCCCGTCACACGCTTGATTTAACCGATGTGTTACTCGCTCGCGATTAATCGCCACACAATGTACGTACGTACAGTCGGCTCGTGCTTTCACGAACTACATCGCGGAAGAACAAGATTTTTTATTGAAAGAGAGAAGAGCGTATATATATTATACACTGAGAAAAAAAAGTTGGTGAAGTAACAAAATTCGATTCACCTATATGCAGCGGTCACGGGCTGTCAATAAAATATTGATTAATGTAAGAAGATATCATGTTTCAATAGATGTAATAATTAGATTATACCGAAAGACAATTTAGTTGTTTTAACAAAATTATAATTTGCTTAAATATACAGGTAGCTTTGAATGTACAACACAATAGGACAACACAATATTTTGTCTGCTTATAAAAATAAGCAGTTTTGATTAAATGAAATACTTACCCGAGTCGAAATTTAGTGTCTACATTGAACCTCAATTTTTGAAAAAAAAAAAATTTCGGACGTCAAAGTAGCATCTACTTTTTTTCTTACTCCTACTTTGAGCCTATCAGAGTCTATTTTGAGCCTATCAGAGCCTGCAATGCGCAGCCTGATCTGAGAATTGAACCTTACTTTAAAACTTTAGCAGAAAAAAAAGAAATTTTGGATGTATAGCAGCGCCAAAGTAGGATCTACTTTCTCTCTTACTCCTACATAAAAAAAAAGGAATTGAGGTTCAATGTAGACGCTAAATTTCGACTCGGGTAGTTACAAAGAAATTCAGATTAAATTCAATTAAAGTAAATGAGAATTGCCTATTTTATCTTTTTTAACAGTATCTTTTATTTGAAATTATCACAACTTATGTTCGACAAAACAATTCATGATTTAGTAAATTAAATATGTTCATTACCACTATTGTTAATTCAACTTATACGAATTTGTTATCTTTATTATCATATGCTTGAATTAAAAAACCAAGTATTTCAGACAAACAAACTGAAACTCAACTAAACGCATTTAGTTGAGTTAATAGTATTTTTTTCTCAATGTACCCCGGTAAGAAGTCAACGATTTGACGCGGTTCGACGACTCGTGTTAATTTTATTCAATCATTTATGACAATATTTATAGATATTTTTAATTGGTTTTAATAAATCTTGTATTTATCTTAACGAACATCTTCGATAATTGATGACATAGAATTATCTCGTCTGTTTATATATATATGTTGTTCGAATAACGCGCGCGACTCACTTGCATGCACGTCGTCGTACACTTTATTGGATGGTTATCAAAAACTTTCCGTACAAAGTGCGATGGACTTGATGACGTAATGAAGCACTCAAATGATTGTAAAATGTCTATAAAAACAACTTTTTAAAACCTTGTAGCGTTTGTAATAACAGATACGAGAGAAGATTTGCCCGCAGGGCTCGAGAGCTAAAGCACCTGTCTGGAGAATACGCGTACGGGCGATGGAAGAACCGGTCGAGGCCCTTTCTCACAGACTCATCTTCTTTTTGCAAAGTGTAATCGCGATTCTGCTTCGAAACCAGATGCGCGGAACGAGATGTTGAACTCGGTCCAAAGTCTTCTTTTTAAAGGACTGTCTATAAAAAAAAATTATTTAACTACGAATTTTCCTCAGAGTGTTTTCTTACTGTTACGATAATGCGCAATAAAATTTTATTGAAATTGTATTAAAATTTATTTTAAACGAGAGCGACAGAGAGAGAGAAAGAGAGAGAGAGAGAGAAGGAGAAAGAGTTTATTATCAACCCGAGTCGAAATTTAGCGTCTACATTGAACCTCAATTTTTGAAAAAAGGAAATTTCGGACGTATAGCAGCGTCAAAGTAGCATCTACTTTTTTTCTTACTCCTACTTTGAGCCTATTAGAGCTTATTTTGAGTCTATCAGAGCCTGCAATGCGCAGTCTGATCTAAGAATTAAACCCTACTTTAAAACTTTAGCAGAAAAAAAGGAAATTTCGGACGTATAGCAGCGTCAAAGTAAGATCTACTTTCTCTCTTACTCCTACGTAAAAAAAGAAAAATTGAGGTTCAATGTAGACGTTAAATTTCGACTCGGGAAAAGGTGTTGGTTATTCCGATCCTATAGAAATAAAATCGTTTTACCGTGATTCGCGCAGGAATGCCGTCGTGGCGCCGGACGAAATTAACGAGCGCGTTTTTTGCGTTCTCCGCATACTTTCGTCGCGTCGGCGTGTTCATCTAGAACGCGTAAATATAATCAAATAACGTGCGTGAAACGCGCGATTATTTTCAAGCAATTACATTTGTATACGGCAAAAATTTCCGGTTCGTCTCGCTCAACAATTGTATTTCAAGCGCATTCGTATAGTTGCAGCAAATTCCCCCGATTCACATTTCACTCTAGCTTGAAGAAAATAACTTTCTTCGACTTCGCCGTCCCCGCCTTCCCGCACGTGCAGAGGAATTTCGAGACGCGGCGCCGAATAAAATTAAGAAACGCGCGCTCTTTTGCATGCTTGTTCCCGTCAGGGATTTCCTCCGAAGAGCGCGCGTAAATACTAAAAAATAACTTACACGTGGTCCGAATATATTAAGCCTGTGTGTGCAGCCACAAATTGCGTGTATTCGAATGTGTACGTGCAAATTAATTGAATTAACGTTAATCTACTTAAAAGATCTTTTAAGTAGAATCTTTTTGTTTATATTCTTTATTCTCTCTCTCTCTCTCTCTCTCTCTCTCTCTCTCTCTCTCTCTCTCTCTCTTTCTCTCTCTCTTTCTTTAGGTTTTTTAAAGAAGTTTTTTTAACAATATCATCGTACGCATTACTCACTGTTTTATTTACATATAACGTTTGCAGCTTTTTTCTATTCTTCTGTTGCATTGATAATGAGTATCTTTGATAATAGATATCCGAGAATAACTTTAGGTGCGACAGTCGGTGATAAAAAAAAAAATACCATTTAATTGCAGCAATATAGATACGCGCGAAATGAAAAAAAAAAATATAGATTAATTATAAATAATATAAATGATCACACACATTTTAACCGCAAGCTTTTCTCTCGAATCTAGTGTGTGTGTGTGTGTGAAAGAATTTGACGCGGCGCCGAATAAAATTACGAGGAATGTGTCTTTTTTTTCTTTTTGTGCGATCTCTGCATACCGGTGTCGCGTCAGCGTGATTTCCTAGAGCGCGTAAATATATGTTCCGGATTCTGTGGACTCTGACTCCTCGTGTATACTGACGTATATACACGAAATACCCGGATGGGGAACATCACAAAGTGGGGGCACCTGGGGGCACGTGGTCGCCACTGTGTGACGCGCAGACCCGCGAACCATAAAACGAAGCGGCGGTCGTGATCCAGGATTCAGTGTGTATCGGGCGATTGCGAGATCGTCAGGCGGTATTCTCGTGCGAGATCAGAGAAAGAGAGAGAGAAGCGCTCGTGGTCGATCCGTTCAGTCGATTGTTTGATGACAATCGGTGACGATTGTTCACGCGTGTGATATCGCTGAAGTGTCGCGACGTGGAAAAGACGTGCACGCGCGCGAGACGCGAATTAAGAAGAAGCGCAAATCACGATGATGACCAGCAGGTCCTTTATCGGGAAGATTGCCGTCTGCATTCTGCTGGGCTGCTGCGTGACGACGCGGGTCACCGGCTCGGCGATACCCATGTGGGAATTTCTCTCGAGGGATGAAAAAGTGAGTACCACAACCCGATTCGAAGTTTAAACCCTACTTTACAAGAAAAAAGAAAATTTCGGACGTATAGCAGCGTCAAAGTAGCATCTACTTTTTTTTCTTACTCCTACTTTGAGCCTATCAGAGCCTATCTTGAGCCTACACCGAAAAAATTATATTCTCGTAAGTAGAAGATTTTATACTTAAAAAATCTTCTTAAAGATTTTAGATGATATTCTTCTGAAATTAAAAATATATTCTTTATTTAAGAATATATTCTTAATTTAAGAATATAGTCTTTTTC